GTCTAAAAAAAGCCATAGGCAAAAGCATAGGGCATGAAATGACATCATATGGGGGCATGCCAAGTCCACCATTTCAATTCTCCTCAGAAGTTAAAAGAGTTGTTTAGATTATCCAACATTTAAATACAGAGAAGCGAGAAAAAAACAAGAACCCACCAAAAAAAAAAAAAAAAAAAAAAAGTGCTTTGTAAGTAAACATCTAAAATACATGGATTCCAGCCTATGTACTTGCTCCATGGTCTCTCACTTCATCTCAGTCAAGCACCCATCATTCCTACATCCCAAATTAAAAAACTGAGGCCAGAGACAATAAGTTCTTCATGCAGAATAATACGGACTCGGGTTTTGAACACAGCTGGTGTGGTAGGTGGAGCCAGCTTGAAAAGGAGCTTAGAAGTTACACAGAACATGCAAAATGTAAAGGCAGGAAGTCATAAGTGAAGGTGCTTGTTAGTGTCTCTTGAAGACAGTAAGGGATTTTAAATAAAAGTCTAGGAAAAATTAAATTTGGGCTAGGGATCTACAGAGGCTCTGTGGAGCAACAAGGAATTAGAAAACTTCTCTGAAGAGCTTCCTATTTGTCCTGTGGCATTCCAAAATCAAAGTTTTAGCATCTGATGTCCAGAAGTGATTAGGGCTAGTCTAATTGAAACCAAGCTGTGGATAAAGCATGTCTTTCTGGTTTGTTCTTCACAACTTCCTGAAGCCTCTCCCTGCCAGTTCATCAAGGCCCGGTGACAACTGCTGGATTAACATGGAAGAAGGAAACGCAGAGGATTGTGCCTTATAGTCCAGACTCTGGGAATAAGGGTGCTGACAGATTTTATTTCCAGGTTCTAGCTCATTCTATCATAGGGCTTATACATCTCATCCCTGGGGTTCTCAGAATGAATTAATTCTTCCTGAATTTTGTCTTATTTCTCACATAGGTGCTTTATCACACCTTTCTCTCAAGAGTGACAGGGAAGAAATATCACTAAGGAAACAATGATTCTATTCTTAAAAACCAACTTGTCATACCATGGCTCCTAAGATTCAAGAACTCAAAGCTGACAGTCGTTTGGATTCTGAATTTGGAAGTGAGACAATTATGGCAGTCAGGTAAGGTGGCTGTCAGCCAGAGGATGAACCAGAGGATGACCGCTGCTGGCCCTTCCCTTGGCTGATAAGGCTTGTGGTATAGTGAAGTGCCCTTTGTTTAACATTCAGTGCATCTGATCTTTCTTCAACCAGAGGATGAATATTCCTACAGAAATGCCCCTTGAGGTAGTACCTGTAAGCATCACTTGTTTAAAATGTCACCTCCATTCCTTTCCCCAAGTCTTTAGGAAGTGGTTGTGGGGGTTGATGATAGGCAATAAGATAAGTAGAAAAATCAACAAGTGATTACCCTCAAGAAATATAGCTCCAGTATCAACCACCTCCCCCTCCCAAAGAACCAGGATGCAGATGGCAAGAAGAGCTGCATTTTGCAGGTGAAAAAAGTGTACCCAGTGGGCAGAAGGTACCCTTTCCATGCTAGTGGATTCAAAATGGCTCCCCCATCTCTAAACTGCAATTTCCTCTAGCCCCAGCCCTCAGACTTAAACTGTTTTAACATCGTCACTTGGCTCAGTTCACTAGACTCCTGCACAGGGCACAAGCTGGGTGGAGTCAACCTTAGGTTTGTCCATGTCACTGAAATAGAGCTGATGGCTTAAATCAACATTGGGCCAATGTGACCACAAGTTCATGCTAACCTGGAAGTCCACAGCATTGATGTTGAACTATGAATCAGACCACTGAAGATGATTGTCACACCTGATGTACATATAATGTCAGTAAGTTACTGATATACCTAAAATTCTATACATTTACTTAGTGTCTTGATAGTTTAAGGGAAAAACTTATTAGCAAAGAAAATATTTCAAAGCTTGTTGAGCAGAAAAAAACAGGTGTCAGCTCAGTTATTTCAATAGCTGGTTCTATATATGTGAGAAATGGGGGGAGTTTGGTCATTTTTAGTGTTTGGTTTGTGTTTTGAATACACAGATTTTCTGAATTCCATTTTCTGAGCATATGAGTAGCTTCTAATAGTATCCCCCAAGCAAGCCAGGGATGATTTAGGTGGAATATGAGAATGTTTGAAAACCAAATTTTCCTTCTCACAGCCCATCTTTGAGCCACGTCAGGGCAGGAACTCAAGGCAGAAACTGAAGCAGAAGCCATAGGAGAATGCTGTCCGCTGGCTTAATCTCCACAGCTTGCTGGGCCTGCTTTCTTCTACAGCCCAGAATCACCTGCCCGGGGGTGGCACTGCTTGTGGTAATCTGGGCCCGCCTACATCAATCCTTAATCAAGAAAATGTCCCCACAGAATTGTATACAAGCCAATGTGAATGAAGGCATTTTCTCAGTTAAGGTTGTCTCTTCCCTGATGGTCCTAGCTAACTTGCATTAGGGTGACAAAAAGCTCACCAGTGCACACAGCAACAGAAATTTACTAATGCATGTGGTTTCCTACACTAGTCTTTGCCTCAGTGGATAACTTTGCAAAGCATGTATGGTCTGGGATTCAGAGTGCATATCATCTTCCCTCCTAACATCTCAAGAAGCCTGAGATGTAAACTACAGACAGTTAAGGAAGAAAGGAGGAAATTGGAGAGAAAGTGACAGAAGGAAATAAAAGAGAAAAAAAAAACCCTAAGGGATAGAAGGAAATAAAATGTTTCTATAGTATGATCTTCATGATCTTGTGAATCCCTATGTGTCTCACTGTGAGAATGTAAGCATGTCCTCCTTCACCATCCCATTGATAAAAACAACATCAACAAGCAGAAACCACTACATGACCAGTGCTCTGTAATCTGCTAAGCACAGGTACCACCCAATATCTTGTCTGTTCCCTTGGATCATGCATATTATATGGTTCATCTGTATGGTTCGTCTAACATTGTTTTTCTCCCTAACTATACATATATCCTCAATTTATTTTTGTAATTAAACAAGGTCCAATGCTTTTCTTAAGCTACAAGCAATTTGCACATCTTTGAGGAAACTGAGGAAAGTAAACTCTAAGGAACCCTCCATCCTTCTAGGATTTTATCCTCAAACCTGTGAATCCAAGGCGTGGTGATTCTTGCTTCTGCCTATGCATCCTTCCATCCATTCGGCAGCCCTCTAACAGAAACTTAATTAGCTCCTCCTCTGGTGTCTACCATAGAAGCTGGAGATAAAACATTAACAACAACAACAACAACAAGATGATTTCCACCATCTTAAAGGCAACTTAATACCCAAGAGATTTAAATAGACATTTGCATAATTATATAAATAAATGTGTCTTTAGATACCACAGTGAATAATATAAAACTATTAGAATCCTGTAGCAGAAAGTCTTAGAGTGTTTGGAGTTTTTTGTTTAAATTATTTTCTGTGCATTTAGTGCCCACAGAGGTCATATCAAGGCATCAGCTCCCACACAACTTCAGTTATATGTGTTGTGACCCTTCTGATGCTGGTGCTAGAGAATGAAACCCTGGTTATGAACAATCACCCATAACGGTTGAGTCATCTCCTCAGGTCTTCATTTAGTTTTAGCATGTCCTAGTGGAAACAAACTCAAAGGGACATCTTGATGTAGGATAGTCAGAGAATTTTGTTCATTGCCCACAGCCAGGAAAAGAACTTGATCAAAACCTTGTTATTTGTGCTCCAACAAAATCTCTTGGACCTTGACTTTTAATATTCTGTCCCTGTTAACTTGTTAAATACTTCAAAAAAAAATAAACAAAACAGGAAAATAAAAGAGTTTAGAATGGTTTAGTATTCTATTTTAAAATAAGCTATGTTTTGAGAGGAAATGAAAATCCAAAGAAGATGGATCTTGCCTGAACACAGCAACAACCTTGCAACACCCTCAGGGGGATCTCAGTACACTTCCTGGCTGAGGCCCCTTGGCCAACGATACAGAAGATCTAAGATTCTAAAATAATCCCCATATTACCAGTGAGTCAGTTTCACTTGTGTGGGAGTTAATGATGGTAAAAAGCAAAGCCTGTGGCCACTAGCAGAAACTGTAGTACAGAAGGGGACAGGGAACACTTAAAGCATGAAGAAAGCAGGGTCATTCCCTTTTAGAGGAGTGACAACTGGCTGTCTAGAAGACTTCATTAGTTTATTTAAAGATAACATTCCAGGTTTATCTTTCAGTTACCTACACATCTTCCCACCAGAATCTTCATGCTGATATTGCCCCAGGCAGTCACATAGCATGATAGGCTTTAGACTCGAAACAGAATTCTAGCAATAACCTTTTGTAATAAGTAACCTTGTACACACAGGGATTCTGGCTTGAGATGTGACAGCCAGATCCTTTTTTCCTTCCCTTCTCATTCTTAGTTTCCTTTCCACTTCTTCCTTTCTCCCCTTCTGTCCTATCTTCTCCTTCCCTCCCTTCTTCATTCTTGTGTTCCTTTTAATTTCAAGAAGAGGATGAAACTCCTCTCCACTCCAACTTCAGAGAAGTTGGGGAAACTCCAACTTCACAGAAGTGCCAATCCAATCTGAATTAGGTAGAAATCTACCCAGGATCCCAGCTGTTCAACAGGCACCTGCATTTTCTCCTTCAAAGCCTTTCTGTTTGTTCCTGGTTCCATGAAGAACATTTTTCCACAGGCAACTCCTTTGCTTTACTACTGTGGCCGCTCTGAGAGATCATGGCTTAGAGAGGCAATTTTATCCATTCTGCAAAGGAACCATTCTAGGCTTATCTTTCAGGATTTCAGGGTGGTTTCTACAAAGATGAACAGGGGGTTTTAAACAGCAATTATTCACCAAATGTTTGGAAGCACTCTTCTCTGAAATAAGTTCATCTCACTAAGCAAGAAGATCAACACCATTAATAACATTATTCTCTCAGCTAAGGGGCACCCAGCTATGAAAGGCAAATTTAAAAAGATCTTTAAACACAAAGGAATGCTCTATGTATGATCAATTAAATAAAAAAAGATAAAATTGCCCTGTTTACCAAGTTTAGTTTAGTTTACATGTCAAATTTGCATTGCGTAAAAAAATGGAAGTTCATATAAATTATGAAACACCCTGGCTTTATTAACACAAACATATTTTTATTAAAGAGTGAATGCATTTATCTAAAGAATAGTTTACATATGTCATAAAGCAACAAGCATATCTTCAGGAGGTGATTCCTCACCAATTCGACTCCATGCTTATTGTACATGCCTTGAAAGTGGACCCATTCGGGGGGACATACATACATACACACACATACACACACACACACAAATGCATACATGGACACACAGTACACAAACCAAAAATACCAACACCACTGCTGTCTGGATTATATTAGCTTTCACTTAAGGCTTCTAAGGTGCCCCATTGCCCCTAACATCACCAGAAATAAAACACACCTTTTAAAGGAGCAACATCACTTGAAAAAGTGGATCATGTGCCCTCTTAAAATGACTATTCACCTTAAATGTGTACATTTTAACAAATACATTTCCATGATTCTTTATGATATACAAAGATCTTGAAACTGAGAGATCTCAAGCTATCAGTGAAAATTTCTCTTAAGAACTAATAGTCAAAGGAGTCATTCTGACTCTAAGATACTATTGACCTCAGGACGACAAGATCACATTTCCCTTTAGGCTTCCAGATAGATATGGAATTTCTAGGCAACCTGATTGGAAATCACCCATTCCCTCCTTGAGTTCAATATTGAAGTCAATGTTCAACATAATGGAACAAGACTTCCCAGGCAATGTCATGCCAGAGCTTAAACTTTCATGAAGGAGTCATCCAACAAGACCTGAACCAAGTAAGTTACTATAAATCAGGACTTAATAAAAGGCAACCTCTACAGACTTTGGTCACCCATTCCCATTTTTTTCCTAGGGTTTTTGATGTCTGAGACTCCTGGTAGGTTTGATGACAGTTTATTTAATTCATTTGTTATTTTCTTTCCTGTTGGTGTCCTGCAGTGTGTTGAGCCTCCATCCCTTTTGGGGAAGTTGGAAGGAGAAAGAACATGGTGAGGGCAGGAGGAGGGAAATGGTCATTAGTTGCAAGGATTCTAAGAAAATAGACTAAGTGAATACAATAGGAGGGTACTACTTGATATACTCATGTAAATAAAAGCATTATCTTTAACTGCAAATTAACTGCCATCTAGCGTGCTGTTAGTTGTAAAGCTCAATCCAAGCTGTGCTGAATCACATACAGAGGAGAGTGTCTGCAAGCATGCCAAGGAAGAGGAACAATCAATCAGTCACCTGGACGTGTCCCTTCCATCCTGCAGCCTCCACACTAGCATCATGTCCCCACCCCACCCACCCACCTAGGAACCACAGAGATGCCTCTAACATTCTTGTTGGATTTCATAAGGCAGATTGGAACAGTCCATCAGACTACAGCCACAGAGTATTTGCCTGAGAATGGTAAAAATAGGCGTGGAGATCTCCCACCAGGAAGCATTAGAATAGAAGAAAACCCCCGAGAAGACAGTCTGGAACCTTCCTCCATGTCCACACCCCCACTCTCCTCAAGGTCACAGCAGCAGCAGATTTCAATGTCACATAATTAATGATACATTTCTTTAGATTTAGAATTGCTCTTCTGAATTTAAAAAGCATGGCCAGCCAATGGTTTTGGCAGTCTTTTCATACCAAATTTGAATCATTGCAGACACATCTATCTTCTGAAACTCCTTGCCCAAATGCTGCCTTTGCTGGAACATCTCAAGTTCCTTCAGCCATCGTCAGATTCTAACTCCTGGGAAGCCTCTTCGGATGAGCTGCTCCTGTGGATCCGCCCATCACTCTTCATACTGTGAAAAGTCTTCTTGAAGGCCTCCATCATAGCATGTGCCAGCTTCTTGGCCTCCAGCTTGCTTTCGCATTGCACTGCATGGCAGTCCATCTGGTAAGACAGGTCATCGTTGATCTCTCTGTACACCCAGGCAAAGATGTTGGGGCTCACGTTGTGGTCGGCTGTGCAGTAGGCAATGCGAGCCACTTGGAAGGTATCCATGTGCACCGTTGCCTCACCTTTGTGGTCAAGGTGATGAAGCCACACTTGGAAGGGACGGATCTCTAGGAGGGCGTTACTTGGAAAAACATCTTCTCGGGCCAGTGTGTGTTTCTTCCAGAGCTCGATGACTGGCTTTTCTGTGCAACCAGACAAAAACTGCATGCTTGTGGTAGAGACTTTCCCCAGATAAGTGACCTGCAGATGGGAGACAGGAAGCAAAGGGAAGGTCAATAGGGTGCACTGAGCTCACTCTGATGAGATGAGAGAGTAGACACAGATGTAATATGCAGCACTGAAGTGGCAGGTCCACCAGGAGGTGAGTATACTCCTTGACCCCATGGAAGCAGAGTTTCTTGCTTTCCTCCCTAGCAAATTTCCTCCTAGGCAAATGCATTGAAACTCTTTAAACAGAGTTGGATTTAAAAAAAAAAAATCTAATACCCGGAGAACTCTTTTCCTCTTCCAACCCCCTTTTAAATTAAAAATGACCAATGATGATGATCTTTTATTTAATTTGGCATTTCTTTCATAAGCATAGGTCATGAGAAGTTTACTTTCAATCAGAATGTGAGAGCTCAAAGGCAGCAGGACTTCAGGAAGCCGGTGCATCTGCAAAACAAAGTCTTTATGAAGCTTATCTCTTGGCCTTTCCCCCAAACCCTTCCCTTTTTGATTTCCTTTATGCTGCATGCTTCCAGCAAATACCAAAGACACAAAAAAGTGTTCCTTCCAAATTACAGCCAGCAGCATGGAATCATGATTTCTCACTTCCATTGAGAAATTGTAAAAAGACAGCAATGCTGATAACACCTTGGGTGGGGGGGACCATAAATAACAGTGCCTAGCACCTAGCTACTTTTCAACCTACACAGTTTGTGGTGGGCCTCTGATCTGATTGTGTGACTGTAGCTGAGAGGTTAGGGAAGATTTGAATGCATGATTATCAAATATCTAGATAGGCACTATTAGAAGGAGGGAAAATAATCCCAAAGGATTCCAATACTGTGTTTTTAAAAAGCTTGGGTGAAGGCAAAAGGATTCAGCTGGTAAAGGCACTTGTGGACAAGTCTGAAGACCTGAGTTCAATCCCTGAACCTAAATAATGGAAGGAGAGAATTGACTTCTCTAGGTATTTGACCACACGTGCTTTTGTTCATAATGTACCAAGAGGTATACATTATTGTTTTTCTCATCAGAATGGGTAGAACTGTTGCCACTGTAATGTAGATATTAAAGAGCTAAATGAAACCTAAGTGGTCTGTTATGGAATATTAAAGATGTGTTACATTTGTTTATGTTGTGGAACATTTGTTTAATGACACAAAGGTGTATTACATTCTTTTATATTGCACTTGTAAGTTCCAGAGAATGAATTGGACCCACCCAAATAGGTCAGATTCACTCCAGATAAATATTATTCAACTTTCCCTGGCCCTGGGACTCCCTTCCCTCATCTTAGGATCCCTTCAAGTACCAGGACCTAAGGAAAAAATTTTCTTAGCCTTGTCCTCTGCTCTGCCAACATCTTGCCAGGTCCAAGAGGGGCCAGAGAATTTCATACAGCCTGGACTGTGAAGAAATAACCAGCTACACCAGGACCAGGACCTGAAAGCACCCCAGCTTTCTCGGGTCCCCCAAAGATGATAATGCCCCCCATGTCAGCAGGAAGTAGTCTTGAGAACTCGATGCCCTTATTCCGTAACCTGCCATGCCTAGCTCCTCACATTTTTAATAATAAATAAAGGTGGGAATATAAGAATTCAGGCATTTTGCTGGCCCTGTCCCCTGGCAACTGGCAGGGGATGATCACCGCATTAAGGCAGATACTTAGACAGCTCAAAGGCCCCTGTGTTATGTGGCTACATGATTCGTTCCCTGGCTGTGTAAGGACTCTGTATCCATGTGGAAGCTCTCCCTTTCAAGAGAGCATCTCCTACCTATTTGCTCCATCTTTCCCCTTCTTTCTTCTTCTTTCCCTCCCGTTCCTGTTCCTGGTTGGCCAACACCTACTCCTCCCTTCTCTCCCTTTCCCCAATAAACTCCACTGAGTTTTGTGGTTCATGTTTCATCACCCGCAGCTGCAGCAAAACAACAACAGCATTTGTTTAACTCTGTGAAGCTGTGTTACTTTGCCTGCCTAAAACACCGATTGGTCTAATAAAGAGATGAATGATTAATAGCTGGTCAGGAGAGAGAAATAGGTGGGGCTGGCAGGCCGAGAGAATAAACAGAGAGGAGAGGGAGAGGAATGAGAAACGGAGGTACCAGGGGCCAAACACCCAGCCACACAACCAGTCTGGGAGTAAGAAGGAAAGAAAGGCATATAGAATAGAGACAGGTAAAAGCCAGAAGGCAAAAAGTAGACAAGATAATTTAAATTAAGAAAATAGGGCTAGGAATAAGCCAAGCTAAGGCTGCGTATTCATAAGTAAGAATAAGTAAGAATAAGTTTCCATACATTTGTTTGAGAGTTGTGTGGTGGGCCCACCCCCAAAGAGATAAAACAAAAAACGAAAACAAGAAAAAAAAACAAAAACAAAATAACCCCAAAACAACTGCAGCAATTAACAAACAATGCCAAGTTTTGTAGAACTGTGTTTAAATTTAGACATGAATGTGAGAAAGGAGATCCCGGGAAAAGGTCCATGGAAACGGGATAAACCTGACAGCTGACATGTGGGCACAATGGCTCCAGTCAACGGTTCTGTTCAGTGGGATCACAGATGTTGAAAACTGGCATTCTGCTGACCCTGCCCCTAATGATGGGTGGAACATGCCTGCCCTGCCTGGTAATGTCATCACGCAGGTGTGAGTTTTCCCTTTTAAGCAAACATCCTTCACCACCCCCTCCCTCCTGCTTTCTGTTGGCCACCAGCTACTCCCCTTCTTTTCCCTCCACCAATAAAATCCACCACATGAGTGCCTTGAGTCTTGTGTTTGTGTTTCACTGACGACAGCTGCAGCAAAAGGAACACTAACGGGGGCTGCACACAAAACTTTAGAACAGGAGAGCGGGGTCCTAGTGCAATCTTTTCAGCATGGTTCTCTCTGAAATAAGTTTTGCTGGGCTTGCAGTGCACATCTTCAATCCGAGAACTCAGGAGACTAAGGCACAGACCTTTCACAGACGTTTGTCTGCAGAAGACATACACATGCCCATTAACATGGGAAAAGATGTTCAACATTCTAACTGTTGGTTTTCATCAACTTGATACAAGCTGGTATCGGCTAAGAAGAGGAAAGCTCAGTTAAGAAAAATGCCCTCAGTCTGGGAGTAAGAAGGAAAAAAAGGTGCACAGAATAGAGAAAGGTAAAAAGCCCAGGGCAACATGTAACCGGCTTTTTAACTGATAATTCATGTGGAAGGTCCCAGCCCACTGTGGGCAGTCTCACTCCTGGGCAAATGGCCCAGGGGGCAGGTATAAGAAAGCAAACACAGCAAGCCAGGAGGAACAAGCTAGTAAGCAGCACTCCTCCATGGCCTCAGCTTTAGTTCTTGCCTCCAAGTTCCTGCCTTGAATTCTGACCTTGTCATCATTTCATACCCTTAGGATATGTAAACCAAATCACCCTCAAGTTACTTTTGGTCATGACTTCTATTACAGCAATTGAAACCTAACTTGGACACTAATTATTTGAGAAATGTAATCAGAATTGCAAGGAGATATTGTTAATACTTCAAACACATTACTATGGCTCTTGCCAAAGCAGTGGATGATTGCAGGTGTTGGCAAGATGAGAAAGTGGAGTCCTTATGCCACCTTGGAGGGTTTGAAGCAGTCTTGAGAAGAATGACTTGGCCAGTTCTTCCTCAGGAGGTAAAATACCTGTGTCAACTTGACACAGCCTAGAGTCACCTGAGAGAGAAGTCTCAATTGATGGATTGCCTGAATTAGATTGAACTATGGGCATGATTGTGGGAGTTATCTTGATTACTAATTTGATATAGAAGGGCCCAGCTCACTGTGGGCTAAGTCTGTTGCCTGGGCAAGTGGTCCCAAGTTTATAGACAAAGACATAAGCCAGCAAATGAACCAGCAAGGAGAATTCCTCAATGGCTTCTGCTTCAAGTTGGTGCTTGAGCTCCTGCCTTGATGTCCCTCAATGCTGCACTGTGACCTGGAAGTATAAAGCCAATAAATTCTTTCCTACTCTAAGATGCTTTTTGGTCAGCGCTCCATTATGACAGAAGGGAAACAAGGATGGATGCCTAGCCCAGACTACTTTTGATAAAGGAGGTTGGCATAGCCCTAAATTTTGGAGTTTAAACTCCAAAACTGGGACACAGAGTGGGGGTGAGGGGAAGGGAGCATTGATTGGCCTCTGGTATGGGCAACTGATAGGCACATCTTGGCAGGATATCATACAGAAGGAAGCATTGTAGAATATTCCTTTATACACTGTGAACATGTGTCATTCTGGTTGGTTTAGTAAAAAGCTAAACATCCAATAGCTAGGCTCATATTCTGGTAGTGGTCTTATTCTGGACAGTGGGTTAACAACTGTGTATACAACCACACTCCCTGCGTATACTGGGTCAAGAAGTAGTTAGTTATTGACAAACACAAACCCTAGATAGAGCATGGAGCATTGCAGGTGTATCCATCTACATCAGCAATGCCACAGGGGCTTGCTCTAAATCTATATAGAGAGAACATCCCATGCCCTTGATCCCCTCCATGACAGGCTTGCCATCTTCTCTGCTACATGGCACTAAGAACTCAGGGCACGGTATGTGATACTGCAGGGTCTCCTACGGCCAACACAACTGTAAACAGTGTCAGATGCAGGTGATGAGAAAGAGGTGATAAGTAAAAGAGATGGATGAAAAAAGATGAATGTTTCCTTGATGAATGTGTTCCTGACCATAAGACTGTGAGAGATACAATCTTTTGGGCCTCAGAGTTACAAAAAATTTCATGTTTCAAAACTGGTCACTACATCTGTCAAAACTTGTATGCAGACTTCTTTCTTTCTTGTTTGTTTGGTTTTTTGTTTGTTTGTTTGTTTTGTTTTGTTCTTTACCTTGCAGGGGGAATAAATAAAAATAAAGAGGCTTGTAAGCAGCCTTCAGGAGGATTAAGAGCAAGCCTCATAAAGAGATTCCATAAACACTGGAATCTGTTCTGTGGTCAGAGAGACAGGCTTGGGGTTAAAAAAAAAAAAAGTGTGTAAATGAATCATTCTAAGAGCAA